GAAACTGCGGAGCATTGGCATATTTTACCCATATCCTCTCATATTTGAGATTTGTAAGAGCTAGGGAAAGGTGTGATTTTGAAGTGTATTCCGGTGAAATGATTCGTGTTGGTCATTCTCTACGATTCAAGTGAGACAAAAACAAATTATGCTGATTTAACCTATGAAAATTAGTGCCATCCACATCATGTCAACATTGAATAGCTCTGAAACGGATATATCCTTGTGCAGAAAACTACTTGATCTGATGCTTCGTTTTGTCTTTTATTTAGCTATATAATTAAATCGTTATTTCGAACAACAGAAACTGTCATCAGAGAACTGAAAAGATCTGCAGTTTCCTGTAATCCTGGAAACCCTTTGAAAACGAATTACATGGAAATGTGAACATTCATTCTTGCCACAAGATCGTTGGGACCTTTTCCTGTACCGACAAGAAATGGCTGTTCTTAAAGGAGCACACGAAAGCTGATTGACGGTCTCTGAAAATGTAAGTAGCAGCACGTAGCAACCATTAAATGATGCAATGTATCAGAAATAATCACAATCTCAAGTTTGCATATTTGAGGCGACCAGAGTCATAATACCTGTAAAGTTTAATCAATCTTCCGCGACTTCTAAACTGACTGATAAAATGAAAACCCAAACATGAATGATGAACTGTTAGTGGTAGCGAATCACATAGAAGAGTAAGTTAGGAGGAGATATGTTGTCAATGAGAAAGCCTTCCTTCGTTGACATAGTAAATACTTCATCACAACAGAAATGCCCAACTTTCAAATAAGCGAACATCACGGATTTTAAATGGCCGCTGAAGGCGGAAATGAAAAATAAAACCACGGAAGTGCATTATAGTTTATATTTCCGTTCATTGCGTCTATTATAAAAAAAATGCGAGAGTGACAGTCGTCCTGTCTTGTATCCTCACGAGGCTACCTCTGACAAATCTGCCAACACTGACTGAAATTGAGACATGCACACCCAAAATTATTACCACCTACCGAAAGCGCTCGGTTATGGAATGAAGAAAGACCGTTACCGTTTCTGCTTCTGGCGCTGGTTGCAAAACCACACTCGCACAACGTTCTTTTTGAGGTCTAGCTTCTCAGCGATGGCGGCAATCTTCTCGCCGGAAGGTCGGGGCTGCACGGCAAAGTAGGCCTCGAGTGAGCGCTTCTCAGGGGCTGCGATTGACGTTCGTTTGCGCTTCTTTTCAGTGTTTGGCAGAATACCGTTCTCCTTGTTTCGATCCTTGATCGTCGACTCAGCCTGCTCCAGCCAAGCGGCTAAAATCGGCTTCAGGGCGATCATGTTGTTGTGAGACAGCGTCAGCGACTCGAACCGGCAAATGGTCGACTGGCTCAACGAGCCGACCCCTGGTAGCTTCAAGTTACCCAGTGCTTTGCCGACGTCAGCCTGGGTCACCCCTAGCTTGATCCGTCTCTGTTTGAAATGTTCAGCGAAAGCCTCCAACTCCCTAGGGTCAGTCTCTGACTCAGCGTTCAGATGCCGCGCCACGACGGCACTGTTGGTGGCTAATGAGGAATGGTGTGGCGCAAACGGTGGGGGTCCTATGCTGCTGATGGCCGAGTGGGAGTACTGAGCGAATTGATGGTGACCCATGCCGGCGGTCATCGCCATGTGATGCTGATCCATCATCGACGGCATGACAGAGACGTTGCTGTTCGAAGCAATCGGGTCCAAGTGAAATTCCATCGCTGATGGCATTGCCACCTGAGGATGAGGACCTGAAGGTCCAAGGTGCGAATACGATGGCAACATTTCTGCCTTAAGCATTGGGTTAGGAGCAGATCCAGAAGATGCCGCTTTCATATCGATGCCGGCCACGAAAGCTGCTTCCGCACGAGCCGAAAATATGCCTTCATCGATGCCTCCAAACAGATTTGTCTAAATGAATACTGCATTAACACAAATGCTAGGCTAGTGCCAAATCATAACACCAAGTTCTACTTTAGTTTGCTGTTACGATATTATACATTAAACCCGCCTTTTTAATGAAGAAATATCATGTGGAAATCAGAAAGGGTTTATTCGAACAAACGGAGATTTAAATTAAGAAATTAACCTTAATGCCGAAAGTTTAGACAGATCTGATAGTCATATTGAAAAGACGAATATAGGACAAGACAAGCAGAATCACAAGAATTTCTCTCAAATTATAATTTACTACTACTGCGGAAGCTTCCTGATTGTACATGCCATCGTCTAGAGTAGTAATCCGTCCAGATCAGTTTGAAGTACTCCGTAACGGTATAGAATGAAATTAATTTGCATTTCGGTCCAGTCCGTTAATGGCTATTACGTCATTACTGCCACAGTCTCAGGCCACATCAAAGTCAAGCGTAAACATAAGCATGCCTTCAACAAAGCTGAAGCTTAGTCATAGGTGTAGGTTTTGCGATAATGTATCAAAACCTCCGCATTACTGATTTGCACTAAACAGCAAATCAGTTTCAGTCCATACCATTATGTATGGATTGCCACTCTAAACGATGTGATAGGCGACGATCTGCTGACGGCCATTTGAAAACAACATGCACATTAATATTGAATATGTGCGGCATCCTCCTGCAGCCCTGCTTGTGATAATCTGTCAGTGTGGTAATTTGAGAAATCTGTTCCTCCATGGCGGAGTGTATGGAAGCAGCTATTACGTAGCTACTCTTGTATCACATCCACCTCTAACGGTGGACGTAGAACGAATGCTCGTGAATCGCAATTGCGTAATTCATTCGATCCATTCGTACTGTCTGAAGGAAACTGCGTCTTTCGTTTTGCAGGAGCAGGATCTACAGTTTGCGTCATCTGTCTCTATTATGAACATCGAAGCAGGTAGAAAACAAAATCGCGTATATATTTTACTTCAGGTGGACTGAAGAGTGAATGTCACTGGTTTAGAAAGTCCTCCAATTCACTGGAGTTATCACAACAGTCGTAAAAATGAAAATCTGTGTATATATAAGATGTTTTCGCAAGTGACTTATGCCAATTTTATTGTTTCTGATAGTCAGTGATTAAATATCTATATTTAACGCCACCAATTATCCAAAGTGCCTGTACCGTATTCTGAACAAATAATGCTGAAGTTCACCTCAGTAGTATGGTTATCTATGCTGTTATAATTAAGCCTTGTCTTGCACGATGATGGCTCTGGTAACATTTTAACTGGAACGATCATTATAAAGTAGTGCTTAAAGAAAGTTTTCACCTTCGAATGCAAAACGATGCCAGAAACTTGGTCTTGTACTTTTATTCATGAACGTACGATGGGTAAGTCTGCATTTTCTAGAATTCATATGATCAGTTCTAATCAATAAAGATTTCCAAGAAGCAGAAGAATCAACCTCCGGAGAAATGATGGCTCGCGCATTTCGCAAAACCTCCTAATTCTGTGGGAAAACATGGTCTGAGTTAAATTCTGACATTTCTGACAATTTTCAGCGACTTTGGGAAAGCAGCACTTAGTGAGTGTTAACGCTTAACTACACCGAAAGAACAATTTAACCTCACCCTTGCTTTGAGCGGCATTTAAACTAGCAAAGCTTCCCAGTATTTGAACGCCTCATTGTATTTGTTTGAAGAAATGACCCCTTAGTAACTGTAAGTAATTGGTCTATGCGGCATTGGCTGAAATAGGCTTTTGGAACAGCTAAGCACTTGTTAGTGTAATCTGACGTATGAATTCATATTTTTGATATTTATGAGTTAACATATAGCGAGTTATGTCAGCCAGTTGTTGCATGATGCGCCGTTGGTCCCCAAATACCGTGTGACATCGTAAATGCTCCATAGACAACTAGGCATAAAGGGATATGATACGAACGGAAGCCTGGTTTTCGATAAATTAAACGCTTGTCTGACCCAAGCGTGTGAGTCCGTACTTCAAAGTGAATATCTGATGCACATTTCCTAATGCGCTCATATTTTCAAGACTATTAATAATAGGCCATATTAAAAGTTGATAAGCTGCTTTGAGGCCCGTAGTGAGAAATTGCTTTCGTCCATGTACACTTAAAGTCCTACACGTCCCTGTCATTTAAATGAGATAGAAATTCCGGCTCTCCTCTTTCGCCATTGTTGAATATCTCTGTACCCTGTGATCCTCCACTTCAGTTCTTTTCTTTCTGCATCGCCAAGTGATACCTACCACACTGATACATTACTGGTGCGGTTAGCCGTTTCGGTCTCGTTTGCACCTCTAACCAAAACAGGATCATATGTTACTGTATCAAGCTACGGTCAGTTTTATGTCCAATAACTAGACGTGAATAACTATATCTCTCACTAATGTGTACAGCCAGTTAATGAAAAAGTTAACCTTTAAATTCTTGGTCCTTTAGAGGTTTTGTCCATGCGGATTGATGATTTTACTCTGCGCAGCAAGATTAAAGGTGGTCTAAAATTTCGTTGGTGTACATTATACTTATTCAGCTTCAGATTATGGTAACATTTACATAGCAAATTCGAAACTTAGCTATAAAATGAGCTGTTGCATCGCGACGGAGAAAAATTTACCTCGTTTGGGGAAGAGAAACGAGAGGCATGAGAAGAGAGAGGCGAAAAAAAATCCTAGCAGTGTCTATCGGAGTTTCATATTCCATAACTGAATTATTAATGTGCTTTAAAATCTACCGTTTCCATTTAGTTGGAAGATTTTCAGATGGATAAAAAGATGCGCTCACGAATGTAGTTGTGAAACATAGGTAAAAATAGAATACGATACGAAGTTTCTTACCTACTGGCTGCGCTCGTTGTTACAATGGCATGTTTTGTCATTTGCGTCTTGTTGCTGAACGTGATAATGACTGTTGTTTCTAGCCTAATGCTTCATCCGTCTCCTGTTGAAGTGAAGGCCGGAAGTATAGGAGTACAACAGTAGAGAAATACGCTCCGGTAGGTCGAGGCAGTGGTTTCGCCCGCCACCAACCAATAACATCTGACCGTAACCAAAACCTCACAACGTGCTCAATTAATATGAATCCGTTTATCCGTTTAGCTAGCTGAATGTATGAGAGACGTCAGCAACATTTCTCTATTTAACTGTCGAACAATGACTCCTGAGGAAAGCGCTCAACAATAAGGAAGATTGGAGGGAGTGTCGACTTGCTGTCATGAAGCGCCAACTGCTGAATACAGTCGGACGAACGAATGCCCCAGCCGCGCAGTCATGAACTTGCAATCGAGACGGCGACGGTTAACCGAGTCAGTAATTTGGTCAGCGTGGCACGAACGAAGTCAATAACTGCAGTTGTCCCCAATGAACTACAGTGTAAGGGCTTTCATTCAACTGCTCGATAATTACGGTTGACGAAACGGTAAGAAATATGAGGAACCGGCGATGGCAACTGTCAGAATTTAATACGTGGTTAAACACGTTTTGCCAGCGTACGACGACCTAATTTATGACCTATTGTTCGACTTCCGGTCGAAAACGTTTATTCACCGCTTTCCAGAGTTAACCACGAACAACGGTTGACAGATCTGAAAATGTGCCATAAGCAAAGATACGCGTCTGAAGGTCAAATCCTTTAAGAATTTGGTACTCATTTGGATGTTGTAGCCACTGACAACGGTTTCAGATTTTCTCCGAAAAGCACCGTCAAATAAGTGAGGCTCGAGGGCGAGTCTCTCTGTCAAGCAGGGCACAATGTGGCATATGGCAGTTGCCTGAATCTAAAGAAAGAAATAATTGGAACGATTGGTTAGTTCTTTCCGGTATGTGTGT